TTTTTTAAAGATAACCTCAGGAGACCTTCCAAAATGCCCAGAATGCACTGAAAAACTGTAAAAAAATAACTATTTTAGACATTTTGAGAGAAGCTGAGAGAGCAGAAGCAGAGAGAGCAGTATTTGTTGAGATTAAACAAAATAAAGTGCAGCGCTAAATGTTCTTATTATGTTATAAATAGTCCACACAAAAAAATCGATCTGGATATATAGTTCATATAATGAAATCCACTTATTATAGCAGAGATATAAGGATGTTGAGGCGAGAGCAAATAGTAAAAGTGCGCACTCACCGGACGCGCATAAATATAGCGCATGTAATCAGTATCCACCGAGATCACTTAGGCAGGCAGAGCGGATGAGCTTCCAGAACAGATCATCAAATCTTGGTGATGTGTGGTTATATTGCTAGCACTTAGCAGTATAACCACACATCACCAAGATTTGATGATTTGATGATCTCCGGTGAGTGCGCACTTTTACTATTTGCTCTCGCCTCAACATCCTGATATCTCTGCTATAATAAGTGGATTTCATTATATGAACTATATATCCAGATCATTTTTTTTGTGTGGACTATTTATAACATAATAAGAACATTTAGCGCTGCACTTTATTTTGTTGAATGTTGTTTAAGGTTTGCTGTGATTACCTTTAGTGCATTGGTTGCTGACAGGAGAGCTCTCATTTTGATTTCTATATATTGATTTGTTGAGATTAGCTGTCTTTTTTTTTTTTTGTGGTGTTTGGATGTGTTCCAGCTCATTTCTGTGCAGAAATTATTGCAGCAGTGTCTAACATATTTTCTTTCATGCGAAACCTCAAAGTATGGTGTACCAGGTCCATTTGAGTACTGTGAAAACGCTTTGCATGCATTTTTCATGATGAAAAAAGGCTCTGGACAGCATCTGGAAATGGAAGAGTTAAAAAAAAATTCCAAACGCAAACACTTATAACGCGCGGTTAGCCGCATTTACATGCGTTTACCAGCGTTTGAAACGCTGATAAAATCTACTCCTGAACGCAAATATGGTGCGTTCAAAAAAACGACTGTAAACTCCACTGCCTGTAAATGACTGTAAACGACATAGTGTATATGGACACATAGGAAAACATTAAGGAGAGTTCAGGGGCTGCTGAAAAAAACGCAGAAAAGCTCCTAAACGTGAGTTTATCAGCTGCAGTGTACATGAGCCTAAAACTCTTCACAGATGAACAACAGACCACCTAAGGTAAACAGCCAAGTTCTGTCTCTACAACATTGCATATTAATTCTGTATAGCAGTTCACTTTGCCTAGCAGCTGATTCATTACACCATTGGTGGTGAGCAATGGAATCTCCATAGCGCTCATGGACATGAACTATTATAGGCATTTGTATACTTAATGAAAATCTCCTGGCACTTTCCTGAGCCCAGGGAGCTGAATGTGCTGCGTACAGCCTGCTATACATGGGAATGGCTGTACAAAATGCCTATGTGCCTGAACCCATACACTTTGTATACAATGCAGAGATCTCACTCATATTATTCCTCTTCTGGTTGCATGTCTTCAGCTTATAGTATTAGGCTACTTTCTCTTTTCATCAAATGTTTTTTAACTCTTCTGGTTGGTCTTAAACCCCAACTTGGGGCAACTAAAAAAATTATCCCTTGCATTGGGACTGTGCATGCATTGCAATGATTAATCGCTCATTTTGGTTTAGGGCAGGGGTGGGCAACCTGTGGCTCTCCAGCTGTTGCAGGACTGCAAGTACCATCATGCCTCTGCAAGTTAGAGCTGTAACTGTCAGTTTGCAATGTCTCATGGGAAATGTAGTTCCACGACAGTTGGAGAGCTGCAGGTTGTACACCCCTGGTCTAGGGCAACAAAGAAAAGGAAGATTTACTTCCATGTGCCTCCGCTCCCCCCGACAGCTAGACCAGTTCCTGCAGCTTCCTCTCCCACATGCTCCAGTGATCTAGGCTTCTTACATCAACAAGACCAGAGCCTTGCCCTGCACTGGATGCGATTAAGCCAAGGCACAGTCCACTGTTGGAGCATGGGGGGAGCGCCATTTGCAGGGGGGAGCAGAGGATCATGTAAGTAAAACTGTTTCTTCCCCCTAGTAAATGAGCAATTAACCCTGGCAGTGTGGGAACAGGCCCACTACAAGGGAATTTAAATTTTCCCGGAGTTAGGCTTTATGGTTCTTTAACCTTAGATTTAAATTTGTGGGAATGTTCACCCAGCAAAGGCAACAAATAAAAACTGACATTTCATAAATGTCACCTATATTATGAGTATTTTTTGTGAATTTTGCAAATAATGAGACATTCACACAACAATTTTTTTAGAAATAGATCCCTATGTCTATTGGCACCCTCATGATTAGAGGGACTAGTGGAGTTTACATTTTCTGCTGATCACTACTGTTCAGCCACAGCATCATTTGCAGCTCTTATGGGGCCTGGAGGTGGGGCTGGGCAAAGCAGGGATAGGTGATGCTATTTTAATAATCATTGGTGGTGACCTGTAGAGGGACGGATGCTATGTTTTTGCTGGATATTGTATATTTAGACAGTCTCTGCACCAGTGGCAGCCTGAATAACCTAACAGCGACTGCATCTGACAGAATGCAGTTACTGTTCAGTCTACCATTTTTCACTATACTTAGTCTTTTTTTTAAATCTACTGCTCTTATGCCAAGTGGTGCTTAAAGATCTATTCACGGCAGCATTAGCATATATGCCTATATATCATTTAGCCAAAAAATTTTTCCAAAAATTAAAGTGGTTCTAAATACTGATTTTTTTTTTCTCCCTTAATTCTCTGCATTAAGTTAAAAAACCTTCAGTATGCAGCTCGCCCCCCCCCCCCCCCCCTTACACTTACCTTAGCCCAATCTCAGTCCAGCGATGTGCATGAACTCTCTCCACTTTCTCATTCCTCATTGGCTCAGAGACAGCAGCAAGAGCCATTGGTTCCTGCTGCTTTCAAACACAGCCTATAAGGAGGGGTCCTGGGGGATGAGCTGTGCTCTCTGTGTCTATGGACACAGACAGCCAGCTCAGGAGAGAGCATGCATGAGTCCACCCATAGCAAACGACTTGCTATAGGGGCACTTGTGGGGGAAGGAGGGTGATTAGACGTGCTAGAGGGGGACCCGAGAAGAGAAGTATCGGGGCTGCTTTGTGTAAAAACATTACACAGAACAGGTACTGTAAATATGACATGTTCGTTATTTTTAAAAAATTGATTGATTACAGCCACTTTAAACCATGTACTCATCCAACCATCATCTAATATCTACAGCCAGCTAAAGTCTGGTGAATTTTTGTTCCTTTACCATTTTTTTCTTTTTCTGTTTTAAGTCATTTTAACTTAAAGTGTAAAGTTGTAAACCTAAAAAACACAAATCAATCTAATCCTACAGTTGAATAGATTTTACCTTTACAGAGCATTTGAGTGTAGTTTGGTATCTTGAAGCAATCCCCTTCTCCAGAAATCCCCCCTGCTCTTCTGAACAGAATAAATCCGACACAAGCAGAAAAATAGTGTCGCCACTCCCCTTCTCCTGTGAGTGACAGGCTGTGCTGAAGACGAGACCAGCATGAGCCTCCATGTAATACACTGCAAAAGGGGTGGGGAAGTGGGTGTCCTCTCCGTGCTGGTCTCTGCCGTCACAAGATGAGAACTCAGCACCAGTGATTTATGACATAGATCGGCATCACTTCAGTAATGCTGTAGTTATCTAGGTAAGTCTGCTGCAGGGGTGGACTGACAACTCATGGGGCCCCCGGGCAATAGGGGATCATGGGGCCCCTGTGTGCTTGTCTTTTTCATAGGCTTGCAAAAAAGCCTATGAAAAAGGTACCAGGGGCATCTCATGGGGCCCCCTACTGACCCCGAGTTTCCAAATGGTCAGTCTGCCCCTGGTCTACTGACAGCTGATTATTGTCCTGTTCTTTTTACAGCACCTAGCTTGTGAATTGCTGTTTACAGAGTTTTACATGAGATCCTTTCCAGGTCCACATTGCCACTTTAGGCTGTAGGATTCCTAGGAATTTTCACATTAACACCCTTCCTACCAGCTCTCTCCTGATTAGCACAGATCCTGTGCTATAAGCAGAGCTGACATAGTGACTGGCACCTGTGTATTCCTTGAATGCTCACAGGCATATACATGTCAGAAAGCTGTGCACGTTCTTGAGCCGAGGCTGGAGGGTGTGTATAACTGTGGGATTGTGTGACATCACATCTCCGCCTACTATTCTCTGGTCCTATGCCACGCCCACAGACCAGCAGTTTTTGGAGGGCTGAGACAAGCTATTATTTTTTTTTTATATTTGCGTCTACACCCACTTTAACCACTAGCCTACAGGGCACTTATACCCCCTTCCTGCCCAGGCCAATTTCCAGCTTTCAGCACTGTCACACTTTGAATGACAATTGCACGGTCATGCAACACTGTACCCATATGAAAAATTTTTATAATTTTTTTGTGACAGAGCTTTATTTTGAAAAAAATGTTGTTTCTTAGTTTTTGTTATAAAATGTTGTAAATAAGTGATTTTTCTCCTTCACTGATGTGTGCTAATGAGGCTGCAGTGATAGACACTGATAGGCTGCACTGATGGACACTGATAGGTGGCACTGCTGGGCACTGATGAGGAGGCACTGGTAGGTGGCACTGATGGGCATTGACAGGCATCACTGATGGGCACTGAAAGGCAGTACTCATATATGGCACTGATAAGCGGCACTGATAGGTGGCACTGATAGGCGGTACCGACTGGCACTGATAGGCAGCACTGTCTGGCACTGTTAGGTGGCACTGACTGGCACTGTTAGGCAGCACTGATAGGCAGCACTGACGGACACTGATAGGCGGCACTGAGGCACACTGATAGGTGGCACTGGCTGGCACTGATAGGCAGCACTGACTGGCACTGATAGGTGGCACTAATTGGCAGCACTGATATGTGGCACTGACTGGCACTGATAGGTGGCACTGACTGGCACTGATGGGTGACACTGAAAGGCAGCTCAGATGGGCACTTATATGTGGCATTGATGTGGACTGGTAGGCACTTAAATGTGACATTGATGTGGCACTGATGGGCACTGGCAGGTGGCATGGATGAGCACTGACAGCTGGCACTGATGGACACTGACAGGTGGCACTGTTGGGGCTACACAGATCATCAGGGCACACTGATCATCAGTGCCCTGATGATCAGTGTACATGTCCCCTCTGAGGGATGCCAATTACCGTCTCTCCTCTCCTCTCGAGCTGTCAGTGTGACAGCTTGTGAGGATAGAAATGCAGATAACCGGCATTTCCCTATTTACATGCGATCAGCTGTGACTGGACAGAGCTGATCACATCACCGAGCCGAAATCTTCGACTCTTTCCATTGATTGGTGATCAGTTGTGTCCGAGGGACACAGCGCACTGCCGATCGCCGTACTGAGTGCTCCCGGAGCCGCGCATGCGCGGTTAAAGTGGGAGGACGTCATATGACGTCCTCCCAGAACGAGAGTTTGGAAGTGATTTTAAAGGCTGAATTTTTTTTAACTCTCATGCATTCTCTGCATTAAGGTAAAAAAAACTTTAGTATGCAGCCCCCCATTCAGCACCCCTTATACTTACTGGAGCCGGATCTTGATCCAGAGATGTGCACAAGAGCAGAGGCTCTCTCCCTCCTCATTGACCCAGCCACAGTAGTGGGAGGCTCCCACTGCTGTCAATCACTGCCACTGAGGAGAACGGGGGGTGGGGCCAAGCCATGATCTCTGTGTCTATCGACACAGAGAGCTAGCTTGAGAGCAAGACAGCACAAGTGCCCCCATAGCAAGAAGAGGAGGATCGGGTTGCTCTGTGCAAAACTATGGCGCACAGCAGGTAACTATGACATGTTCGTTATTTTTTTTAAATATGAGTGTTTACAATCACTTTAACTGCAGCAGAAAAAAAGTCTCCTCACCCTGCCAGAAAGGACTGATTGGCAAAAACAAAAATCTTTTAGCAGGTAAAACAGTTCCCATATATGTATTTCATATGTATATTTACCTGTTTGGCAGGAGTTCAGCTTTAACAATGTTAGACTTTACTGACAATGCTTATGATCATAAAATTGTATCTTTACCACTTGCCCTCCAGAGGATTTACCTCCTTCCTGACCAAGCCATTTTTTGCAATACAGCGTTGTGTTACTTTAACTGACAATTGCGCGGTCATGCAACACTGTACATGAATTAAATTTATGTCCTTTTTTGCCACAAATAGAGATTTCTTACAGTGGTATTTGATCACCCCACCAATATTTTTTACTTACTGCTATAAAGCATATCCAATAAAAAAATGTCATCATAAATCTAGGCCAAAATGTATTCTGCCACATCTTTGCTAAAAAAAATCCCAATACGTGTAAATTAATTGGTTTATGTGAAAGTTATAGCGTCTAAAAATGGCAATATATATACTGGAATTTTTATTTTTATTTTTTTATACTATTAATGGCGACTTATATCAGGACTGTAACAGGCATTCTGACATTGGGTAGGAACTGACTAATGGCCACTGACATCCCCAGTGACACTGATACAGTGATCAGTGCTAATAAAAATCACTGACACTGTGCTAATGACACTGGGCAGGAAGGAGTTAACATCTGGGTTGATCAAAGGGTTAACACTGTGCTGTGTGTGTTTTACTGTGTGCACTGGGTTAACACAAAGGGTTAACAGTGTGTTGTATTTTACTAGGGAGACATGTTGTTTTGTATCTCTCTGCTGTGCAGAGCAATACAAAGCAGCGTGTCCATGCTGACAGGAGAGAGGCGTGTTGTTTACACACAGGCCTCTCCCCTGTCAGTTTTCCCCGACGAGCACCGAGTGTTGGCCGGGAATTGCCAGCTGGGACCCGGTGATTGACATCCCCAGCCACCAATAGCACACACGCGCCCCCCTACCCGGTAAAGCAAATCATGTATTTATACGTGACTGCGCAGCCCTGCCACCCTGTAGCAGTATTTCTGCTGTAGGGCGGACGGCAAGTGGTTAAAATTCTTGTAATGCAAAAATGCAGGGCATTGATGTTAGGCATTTCATCCTTATATATTTGAAGCATTCGTATTTTTGTGTTTTTTTTTTTTCTTTATGAAAAAGTACTAATGTAACTTTTCTGGTAAAATATAATCATCTGCAAAAACAATTTACTTAATCTTCTTTAAATCATCAGAATAAAACACGGGGAAGATTCATGTTCAGGGCAAAACTACTCTTTAGCATCTTGATATATAGTGACTGGAACGTTCTGTTAGTTGCTGCAGAACGTATTGTCCTCTTTCCCTCATTTATGTCTGTACAATCCAGTTTGACATCACATCATAAAAGTTTATGAGCTGCGTTCTTCTAGCTCCTTGCTAATATCCCCAGCATTCCGCTGGCCATCCAAAATCAATACCGCAGCTCCTCTCAATAAATAATGAAAGCTTGAAATACATCCAAATGTGCACGCTGACAATTTGAAGCAATTAGATTTAGCACTAACAAATAGCAGTCCCTTGGGCTAAGACTCAGTCAGGGAGCAGGAACACTGATGTCATCATACTAACGGGAAGCCCTAGGAAAGTCAGCACAGTTAAGGTAACACATTGAATATGGGATACCAGCCTCATTCATAAAAGACAATACTGTGGACTGTATTGTACTGCAGTGCTCAGTAGTACAACAATTTATAACCATTGAGCTAGCAGTAGCATAGGTTCCTTTTGTGCAACACAGAACCAATGTTACACTTATAGTGGTTCTAAAGACAGGGCATTTTCTACTTTACTTTACCCTACATTAAGGTAAAAAATGTCCCAGTATTTGTATCACATCCTCACCTCCATAAAATACTTACCTTAGTCCTATCTCAATGCAGTCAGTGTTGCTCTATCTCTCTTCCTGTCCTCACAAGACTCAGTGAGAGCAGCAAGAGCCATTGGCTCCTACTGCTGTCAATCAAATCCTGTGAGGAGGGAGCAGGGGCAGGGGCGAGGGCGAGCCACTCTGTGTGAATCTACAGGCACACGCAACTGGAAAAAGAGCAAACAGGTGGCGCAAACACCTAGTGCATTATCCAACGTTTATTATAAAGTCAAAAATACAAAAACATATAGACATAGCTTGTTTGTAAAGTAAACAGGTGGCGCAAACACCTTGTATATTAATAAACCTTGGATAATGCAGTAGGTGTTTGCGCCACCTGTTTGCTTTTTTTCCATTTGTTGATTTTCCTGTCTGAGGAGGGCTGCATCCGTGAAACGTTATCAATAGGCCATCCTTTGCCCTGGTTCCCCTGGCTTCACTTTGGCAGTTGATCCCTGGAGCGCTGGAGAGTATACACTGTCATACAGACACACACAGCCTGTCCCGGGAGCAAGCACGCAAATGCGCACCCATAAGAAATGGCTTCCTATGGTGGGACACCAAGAAGAGGGGGAGCCTAGAGCACCCGCAAGAGACCCTTAGAAAAGGAGGTTCTGGACCGCTACCATTGCACAGAACACATAGAGCAAGTAAGTATAACATGTTTATTATTTTAGAAAAAAATTTAAGCTTTACACCCACTTTAAAACAGATTTAAAAATTTGACAAAATAAAAACCAGTCAGTTGTAAGTTAGTATGGCAGAACTTTGTAAAGTGTAATAAAATTTAACCCAGTTATAGAACATCAATTATTTTTGTGCTATTCATTTTAGATTTGAGATTTTTCACAAGCAAGGCCTTCTAAACTTTCTTGTGCTAGATAGAATTGTACGGTAACCAGGGGCGGACTGACCATTTGGAAACTCGGGCACTGCCCGAGGGCCCAGGGTGAGTAGGGGGCCCCATGAGATGCCCCTGGTACCTTTTTCATAGGCTTTTTTGAGTTTGGGCAAGGACACAGGGGGCCCATGATCCCCTATTGCCCGAGGGCCCCATGAGTTGTCAGTCCGCCCCTGACTGTAACTGTAATGTCCCTTAACTTTCTAACTATCCCTTAATTTTGTAAAGTAGGTCACAAAATGTTAGTGCTATATACCGTAAATCTAATATAATAAATAATAATAATAATGATAATAATTGTCAGGGACCAGGTGTTTCTAGGCAAAGGCAAACTAGCTAGTCTCCAGTCTGGTGTAAGAGATAGCAATCCAACATCTAGAGGAGAAAGTTAACTTAAAGCGGAGCTCCACTCACCCTATCAAAAAATAAAAGTCAGCAGCTCCAAAAACTATAGCTGCTGACTTTTAAAAAACAGACACTTACCTGTCCCTCAGTCCCGTGGTGTGTCCCCCGCAGCCTGTTTCACCAGCCGTCCTGTATTCCAGGAGACCGGCATCTTCAGTGTGGGCACCCAGCTGTGACAGCTTGCGGCTTCACAGCTGGGTACCTACTGCACATGCATGAGTAGTGTGGCGCTTCATGAATGGTCCTGTAGTCTTCTGGGACCTGTCACATGTCCCAGAAGACTACGGGGAGGGAGGACACCTTCCGTTTCACCTAAGTGATCGGAAGTGGAAGCGGGTACCTGTCAAATTTGGGTACCCGACCCCCCTCCGCCCCCCAAAGGTGCCAGTCCTTAATAGGGAGCGGGGGAGCAGTCTTTAAAGTGGAACTTCCCCCTTTGGGTGGAGCTCCACTTTAATAGCTTGTGAATGTATGTGCAATGTGTGAGTCTTGCAGTGATGATGGTCAGTGGATAGAACTGCAGTGCACAGAGGTGAGCATGAGCATCCAACAATTCCTGGTTCAAAAGTGCTGAATGCCGCACGGTCAAATGCAAGCTGTAGCATTTGAACGGATGGAAGGTAACGTATAATATCTCTTCTGTTACAAGGAACTGCATTAGGCTACTTTTGGGGTGATGATGGAGTTGCTTTAGGAATTTTACTCCCTCAAAGCCACCAAAAAGATCCATACCAACAGTGGATGATGATGTAATGATCGCTTCACATAGGCTCGGTTCACACTGCCACGACTTGGGATCTTACTTGACATGACATGTGAAATCCTACATTAGTCAATGATAGCTGTCTTAATTAACACTACTGAAGTCGCTCCAACTTTAGAAAAGGTTCTTGTACTACTTCTGTCCGACTTGTGCCCATAGACTTTAATGGAAGTTGCCTCTAAGTCGAATCCTCATCTATATGTGATTTGGATCCGGCATTAACCACTTCCCATCTGACCCATGTACATAAACGGCCGGACGGGAACAGTGCAGGAGTGGGTGGCTGTTTATAAACATCCCCCTGTATTCCCTGCCTGTGCACGCTCCCTGGGAGCGTGCGGCACCGTGATTCGGAGCCCACTGTGTTCGATCGCTGTACGGACCTCTTTGTGAGGTCCCGATCATGTGATCACTGATTGGCCAATTAGTGATCACATGAAT